AATTTAAGTCAAACTTAGAAAATATCAATGCATCATATAATCTATCCAATAAATCTTTTTTATTAGGGATTGGATGTCTAATTCATTTTAATACTTCATTAAGAGGTTTATAATTTATCACTAATCTTGGTCTTTGTCTTTCTATCTCACTATATTTATTAACATAGAAACCAGTACGTGACCATAGAGAATTTGACTTTTTAATCAATCCTTTTTCTAATAACATATTCATTTCATTTCTATATAATTCTAAATATTCAGAATTCATTTGACAAGGTCTTGCCTTTGTTTTAATCATTGTTTTTTCATCAAAATCTTCTTCATATGGAAGACTAATCACATGTCTTTTTCTATCCCAAAAAGCATTAGGATGTTCATTACAAATCTCAGTAGAAATATTAATATATATTTTCTTAATTTTTCCTTGTAACTTATTTTTTTAAATCCTCTTCTATTGAAAATATATTAATTTCATACTTTAAGAAATTGATTTGATTAGTTTTTCTAAAAATAAGATCTTTAAGCTCATTAATGAATCTTGTATTAGGTTCAGTTATAAACTTAAAAGATACAGGTTTTTTTTTATCATATGTTCCTGTAATACTATCAATATCAATATGAGTAATAGGAAAAATTCTTTTTATAAAAAGAGTACCAAATATAACTTGGCTAGTTATAGTTTTAGCTATTAAGAAACTTTTAGGAATACAAACTTGATTGTTACAAATATATTCTTTAGACAATTTATAATTTACGTCTAATGCCTTCCCACCAGCATGTCTTACTACATGAGTAGTTTTTTCAAAATATCTTGTAGGAATTATTCCTTCTTGTATAACAATAACATCAAGCAGCACTATCAATTAGTGCTACTAGTCCTATTTGATAATTATGATCTACCAATAATTTAATAATAACACGAAATTTGAAAGAAGTTATTAAATCTAAAGATCCTAGAAAATTTTCATTTCTTGTTTCATTTATTAATACATTCTTATAAGAATCTACTTGTTTCGTACTTTCTAAATTAGAAACTCTATCATCTAGACTTTTATTAAGGTTTTTTAGAATTTTTATTTCTTTTTTGAGATTATTAATCTCTTTTCCTAAATCACTTACAGTAGTAGGAGATTTTTCTAACCTATTAGATTTTTCTTTAAGCATTTTATATACCTTATCCATTGTATATGGAATACTATCTATTTCTAATGATTCATCTTTATTACTACTTGGAATATCACTAACTTGTTCAATTATTCTTGACCTTAACTCTTGATCTTTTATTGATCTCAAGAATTCTATAATATTATTACTAGTTAAGATACTAATATATGATTCTCTAAATTGAGATATGATTTTATAAAAATCTTCATTTCCATCATTAATTTGCTTTACACAATTATCAGTTCCTTTACAAGGATCACAACAATCAATTTCATCTTCTGAATTTTCTGATATATAACTTAACTGATCTATTTTAGCCTCATCTGAGCTTTCTGATTCAGAGTCTGAATTTACAAGTTAATTAATTCATTTTTAATTTCCTGGCTAATATCTAAACTATTTATTCTTTTCTTCATTTTGCATCTATTTGCAAAATGTCATGGCTGTTTACATTTATAGCAAATTATATTAGTTCTATCCTTCTTATTCTCAAGTCTTTTCATTTTTCTCATTGCTCTTTTATTCAATTTTTTTGAGAATATTTTCTCTTCTTTTTCTTATAATATTTATCATCTTTTTAAAAAATTTTTATCGTTCTTTTTTCTGATGGAATTTCCATCCCAAATTGACTACAAAACGGACCTAATTGTTTTCTTTCAGTCAATCTTTGTCTTTTAATCTGTTGATTTAATTTTATCTCATTACATAAGGCTAAACATTCTTGAATACAAGTTCCTATTAATTTTCCATAAGTATAATTTTCATAAGAAATATTTATCCTATCTTTTCTTAAGACTCTCCTAACTCTTTCAGCAAATAAATTAGGTAATGCATCTATAAATGTAGATTTTTAATGAACACTATTAATATTATGTAATTCCTTAACTCTATTAAGAAAAACATCTCTATACTATCTAAAATCAGATAGTGTTTTACATCTTAAATTCTACAGTAAAGTACGAATATTTTCACTATTATCAGAAATTCTTCCTGTAAAATGTTCTAATATAGTAACATTCAGTGTATAAACTGCATTTTCTATAACCTGAGATCCTTTTTGTTTAACTGTTCTATAAATTTCTTCTTTATTTTGGAAAAATAAATCATTGTCCCACCAATCTTTTAGTTGGCCAATAAATCCTACAACTATCATTTTTACAATTCCTACATCATTATTACCATTTGTTTTACAAATAGTACTATACATTAACATTATATGAGCCATATTCTAAATTTGCTTTTTAGTATAACCATCTAAATTCCATTCATAAATACATTTTCCACTGTAACTATTATTCAGTATATATTCCTGCTCTTCATGTAAGATATCTACAGGAGAAGGTCTATTATAATAATATAATCTTTGAGTGGGCTTATCAGCATATTTATTTAATTTATTAATCTCATCATCTACTAGATTTTTATAATCCTTAGTCTCTTCTAATCTTCTTGAAAATTCTTCTTCGAAAGTATTGATTTTTAAATCTTTAAATTTAGTATCTATTAGCTTTTCTAATTCTAATAAGGATTTTAATTTAAAATCTTTTATTTCAGGTGGTGGTTGAAGAGTTGGTGCTGCAACAACATCCATTCTATTATTGCTAGAACCACTAGCATGACTAGTGTCTGTATTATTCTCTACCAACTGCACCAACTTGTCTAACTTACTTTGTATAGATAGGATTTGTTCCCCTAAAATGTTAAATAAACATTTGTATAATTATTTTGTTCTATTACCTTATTTATGTGTTTGACTGTTATAGCCAAAGTTTCATTTTCAAATAACTTTTTATAGGCAGAAAAACTCATAACAACATTATTTTCTTTTTTCTATTTTAAAAGGTTGTTGTAGAGGAAATAGTGCTTTTAGCGTATTTCCATTCGAGAGTTTATAATCTTTTTCTAAAACACATATGTGTGGTTCAACATAAACAGATGTAAACCATGGAACAAAAGGAAATAAAATATTATGATGTGATAAAAACTTATAAAATTCATCCGAAATAAATTTTTGCATTTCTAAAGAAAAATTTGAAAAAAACCACTTTCTAAATGGTTCCCATCATGGAAGATTAAACTATTCTTTGACTTGATGCCTAGCCAAAGAACCTGGACTAAAATCTATTTTATTCATATTGAAAATGCCATTTCTGACTCAATTATTTCTTCGTCTTTTGTGTTATAAACACCTTTAGCTATATTTTCTTTATTCTTTACCAATTTATCAACATGATGATTATTCTTATCACGTTCACTAACTTGTGAAGTAGAAACACGATAAGAATGTCCAGTAAATGAACTAGAAGCACGACTATCCTCTATTAGAGGTGAAATATGATGAGTGGAATATGAACGAGATAATCCAGATCTATGAGATCTATTATTATTCAATAGGAATGGATTATTCCTTATTTGTATATAAATATGTCTTTCAGGAGTTTGTTCAATAGAATTCACTTCTGTATTTGTTTGTGACTGGATATTACCAGTTCTTTCTTTAACCCATTATTCTGGAATAGGTATTTCATCCCATTTAATTGTTCTTCTAGTAGAAATTTTTGATCTATTGAAATTAATTTCAATTAAAACTGTCTCATTTACATTTTAATCAATTAATTTACAATTGGGATTCAATGTCATCAAAGGTTTATAACAAATTCTATAACATGTACAAATCAATTCTGATCCAGTCATATAATTATATCCATGAGTTTTAACATTTAAAGTCAATTCATCAAGAATATTGACATTACTTAAAGATAATGAAAGATTTGGATAGACATTAAAAAAAACGGGCCATGTGCCAAGCTAGATTGTATTATTCCCATCAAAGATTATTTCCAATTCAAGTTTCTAGCATCTCGTAAGCAAGCTATGAAACTTTCTGGCAATCCTTCTAAAGTTAATGGTTTAAAAGCAATTTGCGCCAAACCAATATGATTAAATTTATATAATTGATAATATCTATTAATATCATCTGATTGCAATAATTTGATCTCTATTTCTTCATTATCTAAAGAAATAGATTCTTCAGTTGTTTTAATAACTTGTTTCAAACCTAATTTTTCAAAAGTACCTAACTGATATGCAGTTTTCAATTCAATCTTTGGAATTGTCAATTTATTAAGTTCTTCTAAATTTTTAGAAATATCATATTCTTATTTAAGACTATTTTTAACAGTCTTCAAGTTCTTCTGAATCAAATTCATTTGAATTTCAAGAGTAGTTGTTGGGATAAGATTTAGTAGTTACAAGTCTACTCATGACTCTGATACCACAACTAAGACAGAGACATAGACTAATTAAGTGAAATTTTACCGGGGTAAGAGTGATTAAGACTGGCCATGATTTCTATAAGTAGGGTTAGCACGATTTAAAGCCATGTGAAAGGCGTGTTAAGGGCGTTGATCCCAATTTATTTATATAAAATCATTGATGAGCGGACTTAATTATTCTGTAATCTTCCCTATTTGGCTATAAAGAGTAAGAAAATGCCTAATTAATAGAGGAAGAGTACCCTAATACATGGGAGTCAACCTATACATATTTTAGCATACATTATTTGTTTCTTTTCATTTGTGTTTTAGTCTAATTTAGTAGGAATTATATAATGTTAAATAATACCAATGTTAGTTTCAAAGTAAGAATTCAAAAACTATGTAATAAATTTAATAAAGAACCAAAATAGCAAAAAAGGCAAATATAATGAACCAAATCAGTTAATTGTTGATGATGTGGACCAAATTAAACTATTGGTCGAATGTAAAGGACCAATTCAATTGTGTGGTTTTGTATTATGTTTTGTGACAAATTATTATAAAATCGCCGTGATACTAATGCATACTGAAGCGCAGTTCTCAGTTCTTCAGGATACAGAGAGAGAAAGAGGGCAACGAACGACTACAATGTTAGGACTTGAAGAAACAAAAGTTCTATGGAGGCTTCTCTCCGATTCTTCCCGCCCGTTGGAAGAACTTATGAAGGAATTCTCGGCCAAGTTCGATTCTTCTTCTCGCATCTTTGCCGTCTGCTCTTTACTCGTCATATTACTCTCCGAGGTAGTTCGTGCTGATTTTTTATTTTTATTTTTTATTTTTTTTTACTTTATTTAATTTGACTCCGAGATGCTGATTTCGGTGTAATCAGCGTTGTATCTAGTAAAATTTGAGCTGAATCATATCGCCTTTTTTTTTTCGTATTAGGTTTTAAAGGAAAATTTTGGTCTTTATTGAAATTTTTATGCAAAAGTTTATTGATTGTTCGTAACTTCGATTGGAATCATGATTCTTCAGTTTAGTTAATATAGATAGTCTTGTTTATTGAGTATCGGGATGTAGTGCAGATGGAGTTGACATTAAGATGGATTGAGTTCCCTTTGGTTGTTTTGCTATGCCTTCGAAGTAATTGTTTTTAAGATTTTGGATGAAGAATTCATCCTTCTGTGCAGAAATGATACAGAAAATTTCTGCTAATTTTTCAGTTTTGAATGGGTAGTGCTTAGTATTGTTGTTGATTTATGAACCGAAATGACATAGTACTAGAGTTAAATTTAATGGATATTTAGTTGATTGTTCAAGGCTATTTCCCATGACATAGTAATTTGATGTTTTTGTTCAAGGTTCTGAAAGTTTCAATATTTTTTTTACTCTAAAATTTATGCTGATCAATTGAGTTGGACATGGCCCATCTGGTTCAAGTTGGTTAACTCACTGTTGTTGATTACATATCGAAATGCAGTGGAACCAGAGTTAAATTCAATGAAATCAATTCAATTGAAGTGTTTTTATTTGGAGTGCGACCGCTGTTAATAGGTTTGCTATAATAGTATGGTTCAGTCATTTGTGAGAAAGCTACGAAGTTGTATTGGGTGTTCTTTTGTTCAATTGGGGCGTTATGGTTCGATTGAGGTGAAACAAAGTTTTTTTCTTTTTTTTTGGGTTGATTATATATTGGAACACTGTAGAACTAAAGTTAAGCTTATGATATTGGATACAGGAGTTTTCTGATTGGGATATGATATGTGGTTTTTTAAGTCGAGGAAGTCATTAAGATTCAGGAAAGAGTGACCTGGAATTGCCTTATGGCATATATTTATTTGGTTGAAATGATAAGTTGGCTGTTGATTAGCATCTGTTTGGTCATTGGTGACTGAAATGTTTACGAAGGTGTGGTTTCTAGAAGGTGAAATCTAATGGAGGACAAGTAAGATAAGGGCGAAGATTTCTTAAGATCGCATTAGAGTAGTGCTTATCATTAGTTTTGGGCAGCTTAGCTGTAAGGCAGCTGGGTGACAGGTTATATCCACTGCATGTGGTGGTTGTTTGTAGTCTGTGGATGCTTATAATTTTGTTTTGGGTCATTTATATTTTATTCACTATCTGCAACTATAATAAGTAAACCTTAATGAATTTACTCTATGGCCGCTGTTAACATTATTTATAATAATACAGGTTTTCCCTTCTCCTGTAGAACTCTCTACACCTGTTAGTGCTATGACAGGCATTATAATTATTGATGTGGTATCTTTTTGATTTAAAATGTTACTTTCATTATAGTATGGAAGTGGTGAGGTGCTGAATATTCCGTGAACTGCAGAGAGAGGGAAAAAGGGTTGATTTTTCTTGCTGTTCATGGGCATCTTTTTTCATTTATGTAATCATTCTGAGCAGTTTGACGCATGATGTGACTGTAGTCTGCTTTAGCTCAGTAAGAATTTCAAAAGTGAGATTATCCAAATAGAAAGGCAAAAATTTAAGAGCGTGTACAGTGCACCACAGCTTTTTCGTGCGCCGGCAAAAGTGTATGGCGCTTTTGTCCTATTTGTATGCTGTTTTTTTTTCCCAATAATATATATATATATATATATATTTCTCGAACTCATTTATGTAATCTCTCGCAATCTCTCGCAATAGAAATCTCTCGCAATAGAAAAAACTTTTATGCCTAGGATAAGACATGTAATGTCATGCTTAGAGAAACTTTCATGTCTTTGTCTTTTGGATTAAAAAAATCTCCGTATAACCTTTTCTATCTATTAATTTGGAGGATGCTCTATGGTCACTGATATATTCTATGGTTGCAGAAAATTCTCAAACCTACAGAGCGCCTGGTTACAATTGCATTTCTGCACCATGCATATTCTACCCAGCAGCCCAGTTCCAATCCTTTCTTTTCTGCGCTTGTAGATGTAAGTTCATAGAGGTGGTTATCTCAAATGTGGTCCCTAAATCTCAAATATTTCCATATAGCAAAGTTTTTGAATGCTGCATCAGCGAGAATTATAGATACTTTGTACGTGTTTATTGAGAAATAATGGATGAACAAGATAGCTAGACTCCTGGCAGCATTTTAATGAGTCATGAGATGCTTGAGATTTCTCTGCTGAGGTTCTAAATTGCTATAGCTATTTACAACTCTTATTCCAGCAGAGAGGCTTGGCTATAATTGTTGAGGATGTTCTCTTTCAAACCTTGTGAAACATTAATCTGGTTCCTTCCCTGTATTTGTAAGCCATAGCGTATTGGGGGAACAAGTTTTGGCAATCCTTTCCACTAAATTTTCATAAATGCCGAATTATGAGACCTTTAATTGATTGCGTCTTTATGCCCGTGGTTCCTGACACTTGTATGATCCTTCTCAAATGGCGTGTTTGTCAAATGTTTGGGCTGAATGGTTTGAATTGGCAGTCTCTGCAGAAGTAATTCTTGCTAGAACAGTTTGATGATATTTGATTACATAACAACTGGATTTGTATTTAGCTGCAGTTTTAGGATCACTTTTTTATATATTTGCTTTCTCATTTGCACCACTACTGACTTACAAACATTGAAGAACCATATCATAGCTTTCTCAAGTTCTACGTGGTGGTCAATAGAGATGCAGAAGCTGTATCTTCCCTTCTCCTCTCTTAGGAAAGGGGTAAAAGTACAAAAGCAAAGTAAAGAATAAAGCTGCTTTGAGATGCTGAGAATGAAAGAATTTTGTCATCGGTATTTACTTTTGTTGTAAAAAAGAATGTTCCAGAACATTGCATGAGTCTCTTGCAGGAGATATTGGCGTTTTTAGCTAGCTTGTTGGTTGACAAATATATTTTCCTGGTGTATTGTATGCAGGCAGCATCGGATGAAGCAGCTGAAAAGTTTGAAAGAATTTTCATTATTCAATTACTGCAATCCTCTAGCTCTACGAATGAATCAGAGGTATTAGTGCATAGGTTTTTAAAACCTGATAGTTTATTGTAGTAGAATAAAAAATTTATTGTGTGCTCTGCTGTCATGTTATCTATAATGGCGGTTGTTGCAAATTAGCTATCAGTCTCCTCTTATTCCTTGGAGCAGAAATCTTCCTGCCTTTGGGTTCTGCTCCAAACCTGCCATTTTGACATTTTTTTGAGTTTACCCTCTGTTTACATGCTTGCCATTAGGCCATCCATTTTCAGAAAAGATCTTCCAGTCGTTACTTTTGTGAAGTATGCATGCCTGTATTTGGAGCGAGAGAAGAAGGGGTTGGGGAAGGAGAGGTTTTCTTTAACTTGATTAAGAATGATGAACTCCTCTCTGTTAACCAAGTGATGTGCATGTATGTTGTATGATCTTATTTAGCATGATTTTTACTTATGGTTTGATTTCCTTGTTCTGGGTGCGCAATGTCATACGGCCTGATTGCTTTTCTTTTCTTTTTTCACAAACGTTGTCATCTTCAATTGGTTTCCATGCCCAGGTGCTCAAAAGCTCTGCTGCAGACTTTATTAGGAATTTTGAACCTTCATCGCAAGTGAGTTATACAATCGTTTTTTGTGTGTATTGAAGTTTTTCGAACAACGTAAACCTGATTTCTGTGCAATACGAAATTACCAGGCATTTCCAACAAGAGAGCAGCTGCAGCAGCTATATTGTTCGGAAGCTCATCCAGAATCATATAATAGCTTTTTCAGAAATAAACCCGTAAAGAATATCTTGCCTAATCCAGATGTGCCACATGGGTGCAACGCCAATTCTTCAGAGTAAAGTTCATTTCATCTTATTTGATTCAGGCCTTCACCCTTTTTACTTGTGCTGCACCTTTTCCAGTTGATATCCTGTGAGTTTCACTGCCTAATGCTTTCCTTCTTGTTCAAATGCCTAATTACACGTCTAGGTTTGACCAGCAACCTGGAGTTACACCTAAAATTGGATCTGGTGATAGGGATGAGACTGTAACTGGATTGTTGCAGAGTCTATCGTTGGAGGGATTAGGTCCTCAGTGGATCAGGCCTTTTCCACCAAGGCTTCCTGTGCTGCAGGGAGAGGTAAGCACAAAGGGTTTAACCAAGTTTTTAATGTGTTGAGAATTTATTGTTGAATAACTCTTCACTAGAATTTTTTCTAATGATGACAGCTAGCGTGGATAAATCCCTCGAATAACCATGATCTCATGTGGGATCACGGGATGTGCGCTGATACGAGTAGAGGAGCAGCAGTTAGGGATCTGATTTCAAAAGCTTTGAAAGGTCCACTCGCACCTGCTCAACAAGAGGTGCTCATACATTTTCTTATTTCGGGTGTTTGTTCTGAAATTGCTGTTTATTATTAGAAGAATTGATTACTGTAGCTCTTGTTCATCTTGTCATCCAGCAAGTTCTTTTAGAGTTGGCAAATGACCCAAAACTGGTATATCACTGTGGGCTCACGCCTAGAAAACTGCCAGTAAGTCATTCTCTGTGGCCACACCTGTGACTTATCTATTGTTTCATTGGGTTTAGAGTGTATAACTGTGTATTTTGTTCTTAGGAACTTGTGGAGAATAACCCCGTTATTGCAGTTGAAGTTCTCATTAAGCTTGCAAATTCATCTGAAATTGAAGAGTATGTTCGTTTCTTGCTCTTCTTTGTTATGCTTAGTGAAACTGTATTGTAGAAGCATGTTCACGATCTGAATTTGTTGTGGGATGCAGGTACTTTACAGTTCTTGTTAATATGGACATGAGCCTTCACTCCATGGAAGTGGTTAACAGGCTAACTACGGCTGTTGAACTTCCTACTGAGTTCATACACATGTACATAACAAACTGTATATCTTCCTGTGAGAATATCAAGGTTTGTAGGCTTAATTTCTCGTCTGTTTTTCTTTTCCCATCCCATCCCCTTAAAATCCCCATTATTTATGAAAGTCAAGTTTAGTGGATCTATCACGATTCATATATGTTGCTCCCTCTCAAATCATTTTCTATTAAGAATTTGTGAATACATTCAACATGCATTCAATTTAGTTTTTTATTTGCGTAATACCATATTATCAGTAGGGTACCTGCAAATGTGTAAAGCGCCTTGCACAATTTTCTTCGAAGTTTGATATTAGCAAGAACTGTTTCAAGGAATAATAATTTCAAGTAGTTACACGAAAAGGTTTTAACAGATGTACGTATAGGTCTTCATTGAGCACAGATCAGAAGTCTGTAACTTTGATGCCTATATGAGCAAAACACTTGCTCAGCTGACTTGAATGCCTTAGATGCATAAGCCTCAACCATGTACTGATGACATCTCTTGTTATAAACCAAAAATATCCAACCCTAGCCTGATGATTTCTTCCCTTGTTAGTATTCTTGTTGAATAGCCCTCTTTGGATCCTTTGCTTAGTCTGTAATGGGGTAGTTATGTTTGGTTCGTTTTTTTAGTGTGTGTTTTTAGGTGTTTTTTGTATTGGGAATGTAAAAAGGTGTGTTGGAAATATAAAAAGATATGCTGGGATGGGATAGTTATTAATAAAATAAACTGAAAAAACCATCAAAAAAAGCAAACAAACAAAGGTAGGGATTCAGTTTAATATTTATGCCTTTTAAGTATACGAACTAAGGAGGCCACGCGCGCGCGTGTGTTTGTAGAGGAGCGAGTTTATCGGAATGGGTAAATGTACAAAGAGATAGTTGTCATTGATACATGCTGTCCACTCCTTCATGTTGAGTTACTTTGCTATTGGTTCCTTACTGTGTGTTTGTCGATATCCATGTGTAAGCAGTACATAGATTAGTGGTTTTATTTAATGAGTTTCATTTCATACCTTTATGTCTGGGCTTGTTTTAGATGGACTGAGCACTGGATGACCTCAAATTTTGACGTACTAATTTCTCTGATATAATTGAGATTACTGGTTCTTAAACTTGTTCATTTCTTGTCATAATTTTCAGGATAGGTATATGCAGAATAGACTTGTCAGGCTCGTATGCGTCTTCCTTCAGAGCTTGATCCGGAATAAAATAATTAATGGTGAGTCTACCGTGAAATACAGCTTTTGTGGCTTACTATGGTTTCTTCTAGTATATAACTACTTTATATTCCTTGCTATCATTTGCCATGGTGCTTGTGTATCTGTTCACCTTGTGAAGCTTTGTAAAAGGTTGAGTTGATATTGATAAGTGGTAAACGAGGTGCAAATTTTGTTGCCTTCCTTTCTGAATCAGATCTCTTTCATCTTGTTACATAATGGGTATCTATTACGGTCCATAACCATTTTTCTGAATCAGATCTCTGTCATCTTGTGTTCCATGGCCTTTAATGTCTTATTGAGTCATCTATCACCTGAAAATGTGAGCCACTAGAGTAACAATCAATCATGCTAGAGTTTGCGCAAAAGACTGTTACTTGAAATCAAAGCATTAAAGACTCAGATATTTGACGATGAAGAGGGGTTCAATGAGAATGATGAGTGGGGAGGCATGGTGGATTGACACAAAAGTGGGGAGGCATGGTGGGAATGATGAGTGGTAGAGCCGTGGAGAGAGGAAATGGTGAATTTTGGCCACTAGTGAAGGTCTAGAAAAGAAAACTATTTTCATATTTTCTGCTACTTTACAAACTGGGAAAATGCACGTAGGGGTTCTTTAAAATATTTGTACCATTGGGGTTTTTTTTTGGATGTACTTTCGGAACCACAGGAAAAATAACCAAAGAATGAATTTTGGCAGGAAGACATTTTTTGAGGATACATGTGATAAGCTCAAGCTTATGTTACCTTTGAATTTACTTCTGAAGGTTTTGAAGATGAAAAAAGAACAGAGATAGTGAGTATATATCCTGTGGTTGGAAGTCTAACCCAAAGCTTTGGTGGGACAAAAACAATTTATCTCATTATTATTTAAAAATTCTTTAGTCATACATGTTCTTTTTTTCCTTTCTGTTTTTTTTTCACACCTGGACGTGAATGTATGTTAGCTTATGGTAAACGTGATGGTCCAATGTTCATCTTCTTGTTTCGGTCCGGCCGTCCGAGTTAGGATCTCTTCCATACTGAAATTATTTGTTATTCATATGTTTGAGCTTTTTCTGAACTAGACCTTTTTGTGTTGCAGTCCAAGATCTTTTTATCGAGGTTCAAGCTTTCTGTATAGAGTTCTCGAGGATTAGGGAAGCTGCTGGACTATTTAGGCTTCTCAAGACTTTAGAATAAGTAGTTTTGTTTTCCTTTTTTCTTTCTATTTATATTTATTTATCCCTTACCAACATATTTCCTGCTATAGCAAATGCTTTGAATGCTTTGAATGCTATAGCAAATGCTTTGAATGGTCACTGGCTCTACAGTGTCAATTAGTAGAAATGATGTCGTTCCTAGTTTGTAGAGCTTAGTTTGTAGTTCTGTGTTCTCTCTTTTCTATCTGTGTAGAGCTTAATTAGCATCTACGAGACGGATGAGAACTTCAACAAATTGATGAGCGTCCTTGTTTTCATTTTTATTTTTTGGTTTAATGAGCAAGTAACTGCTTTTAGGAAGCGGTCCAATTATTTGCCATGTTGAGCAATGAACATCTATTTGGGTCTTTTCCCTAAAAAAATTAATTAAAATAAAGGTGGACAAATTTAAATTTTTATAAATATCTGTGAACATATATATATCTCACGGATTTCTGAAATTCGAGTGTTAAAATTAAACCTTCGGATTTCAGAAATCCGAATCCACATATAATATTAAAATAATAACTATATACATTTTGTGGAATTATAGTAAAAATCAGAAAATGAACAGTGCCATTCGGATTTTGAAAATCCGAATTTCAAAAAAAAGAAGGCAAATTGAGATGTGAAATTTTTGAACTCAAATAAGGAGTCCATTCCAGGACTCCTTAAATAAACAGTTCTATTCGGATTTACAAAATTCGAATCCTTTAAAAAAAAGGAGAAAATTGAGGCGTGAAATTTTTGAATCCAAAAAGTCGGAATTCCGTAATCCGGATACAGATATTCGGATTTTGGAAATCCGAAGGCTTTTAATTTTAGTTGGTGGAAGTAGGCATCTGCAATAAATTGGAGGACCAAAAAAATGGAATAAAAAATCCAGAATTGACCAAACTCGGATTTCTGAAATTCGGGTATGCGCTGATTCGGATTTAGGGAATCCGAGTTACTTACAGATTCGGATTTCGGAAATCCGAGTTTACCATGTTATAAAAGAAAAAAAAAAAATCAGACGGTTCTCATTCGATAACTGAATTAGATTTTCTGTTTCTGCAGCTCTTGGTTGGCGAATTGGAGCTTTTGATGCAACCTTACCGCTAGATACGTGGGAATTGTTGTTTAAAAGAGGTTAGATTGCAAAACCATGTTATTTAGTTTAGTTTTGTGTTATTTTGATTGTTAGAATTATGTATGATAGATTAGGGTTTTTGTTTGTTGGTTGTTTGGATGTTTTAGGTGTTGATTTTGAGGTTAGAGATGATAAATCATAGTTATTCATAAGATATGTAAGTTGATTTATAAGTATTTTAGGATTTTATAGGTTTTTTGAATTATGAATGGAGTATGTATGGTGTATTTGTTGATTTTGTTATTAAGAAAGGATTAGATATTGATGTTTTTTTTTAAAATAGTTATCAATGGCATGTAATGTATCATACATGCTTAATTTGTTTCATACAAGCAAGTCTGTGATAGAGAACGGTAGTATCAATACTTTTTCGAATATGCCGGATGATGGTTTGTTTGTTGAGGAAAGGTTGTCATATGATGAATTGATTAGTAAGATTTGTATGACACTTGGTTAAGATCCAGCACACGTAAAACTCCACCTTTCTGTGATTTTCGATAGTCCCAGTGGTAGGCGTGTAGTGAAGATCAAGAATGATTCACATGTAGAGTTCATGAACCGTGTAGCTCCAATGTCATGTTTGAATTTATACATAGATTTGGAAGATATCACTCACGATGAAAGAGAAGCGAGTTTAGAAAACAACGTGTCATTTGGTGGTTTTTCAAGGGGGGAACGTGCTAGTACTTCTCGAAACCGTGATGAAGAGGAGACACCTTTATTTGCACAAGATGACTACATGGAAGAGTTGGATCCCGACTACATAGCTCCAAGCGAAAGCGAAGAAGACCGTGATGTCTGTGCAGAGAGTGATTTTGAAGAAAGTGATGATGAATTATTGGAAAATGAGGAAAGAGATCTTAATCTATTGTCCCGACGCCATGTATATAGTAAGATGGGGAAATGGGATGCCTCGTGTGTGGACAAAGATGAGTTTGCTCTTAAGATGTGAGATGAGACGCCCGAAGGAATGGACATTGGTGTTTGTTTCAAATCCCAATCAGAAGCAAAGCATGCTGTGAAATTATGGACCATCCATCATAAAAGAGAATATACGGTCCCCGCGAGTAGTCCAAAGACGTGGGCTGTGCAGTGCAGAACATTAAATATGGAAAGTGAGGATGGTGAACCACCATGTGAGTGGAAGATGCGTGTGTCTTTGAAAGATCACGGCCTTCATGAAATTGTGAGATAGCATAATGCACATAATTACATGACTCCCGTGAATGATAATGACAATCGGTGTGTAGACGCGTCTTTGATTGCTAGACTCATCAGGAGAAAGGTTGAGGACAACGTAGATTATACGGTGGTCTCGGCACAGAAAGATGTGAAGACCTTATTGAAAGTAGATGTACCATACAAAAGGGCGTGACACGGGAGGAGGAAAGCTATAGAAGCGGTCTATGGTGATTGGACCTCGAATTTCGAAGAACTTCCTAGGTAAATATCAACTTTTATTCGTATTGTTATGTGCATTATTTTTAATCTTTTTTTGTTAAATGTATTGAAATATTTTAACTAGGACTGGTTTGTTGTGTAGGTATATCGCTGCGCTTAAGTTTACTAATCCTGAGACAGTAGTAGAGTGGGAATGGAAGGAGGGACAAGAAGGTTGGAACAGGGGAAATAAGACATTTAAATACGTTTTCTGGTCATTTGCACCAGTGGCTGCGACGTTTCATAAATGTCCACTGGTCACTTGTATCGATGGAACCTTCTTGCGTTGTGGATACAAGGGTAAATTACTTGTTGCGGTGGTCTATACCGCAAACAAGCACATTTTACCGGTTGCATTTACGATTGTGGATGAGGAGACAGCAGAGAGTTGGACATTTTTTATGAGGAATTTGAGGTTATGGGTTGTGCATGATAGAATTGTAAGTGTGATATCCGACCGGAATGCAGGGTTGTTGAGCGCAATGTCACAGATGGATGAATAGCATGATTTAGGAAATGGTGGCCACTTTCTTTGCCTCCGTCACGTTCGCAGCAATCTTGTGTTGCGATATAATAGCAGAAAAATGAAGCGATTATGTTGGAAGATGGGTACGACGCATACAAGAGTGAAATACAACCGTATGAGGGCAGAGTTTATTGAATTCAAACCTGCTGCATGGGAGTATCTTCGAGGGATTTGAGGGAGTAACTAGGTTCGATTGAAAGACGGTCTTCGCCGTTGGGGCATAGCGACAACCAACATTTCTGAGAGCTACAACAATGCGTTGAAAGGGATCCGATTTTTACCAATTAGAGCCTTGATCGATGCAACCTTTCGCAAAACTATGAAATTCTACAAAAAAGAACAATTGTGTGCGAGAAATTGTATAACACCGACCCCTCCTGAGTTATGGAAAAAATACGAGGAAATGAACGACAAAGCAGCCAGTTTTGATGCCACCCCTTTTGATGGTGATGATGCTAGGTGGCGGGTTGTTAATGCTACATGGCTAAATGGCAGGGGTGGGTCTTTGCATACGGTGAACTATGATGAACATAGATGTTCGTACAGGAAGTGGCAAGAGTACCGGGCGCCTTGTACACACGCACTCCAAGTTTGCCGAAAAAAAGGGGATCGGCCTATTGATCTACACCATAGTGTGTGGCGCCTTCCAGCATGGCGCAAACAATTTGATTGCACGGGTTTTGTTCCAATTCCCGATGAGCAACAATGGCCGACGGTCAATTGGAATATCATTATGAATTATGAGCGTCTTGTTTTGAATGTGGGACCGGGACGGCGACAAAAAAGGAGACATATAATGCAAATGGATTACAGGGAACGCCGGAGCCGGGAGGAATGTTGGAGATGCGGACAACAAGGTCACGATCCCAATTCTTGTCCTTACTCACACCCATCTGGAATTGAGAGACATTTAGTGTTCTTGCAAGTTATTTGGAGTGACCATGTTATTTGGAATGACAACTTTTTAATTAAATGTCCTCTAAATATTTGTATTGATAAAATTCGGATTGTAATGTTAAGATTGAATTGTTCGGATTGTAATGTTAACATTGAATTGTTGGTGCTTTGATTGTGATGAAATAGATACTAGTTGTTAATAACAGGTTTTGGGATTGTGCAAAAAATAAAAATGGACATTTTAAGGTTTTGTATAGTGTTCGGATTTCCGAAAGCCAAACTTATCCGTTTTGTATAACGCCCGGATTTCAGAAATCCGAAACATGGGCGATTTCCTGCAGCAGAGTACACGGATTCCTAAAATCTGAGTTATCACAATTTATACTATGTTCGGATTTTGGATTTTCGAATTGATGAATTCCATCTGAGAGTGTGCAGTTTGTGGAGAAACAGAGGAGATTCGGAATTTGGTAATCTGAATCACTTGAATTTGGAATTAGGATATCCGAAGTTGACAGGACTATAAAAGTCGGTCAACTCTGGAACCCATTCATTTTTCCCCAATTGGACCCTAAATCCAATCCCCTCCCCCGACCGGCGACGACCTTCGTCTTGTTCAACCGCCACCCACGGTCCAACGACTCAATCTACCACCCAAATCGACGACTCCTCCGTCTGGCGACCCACCCCCTCCCTCTGGTGGTCTGAAATCCACGTCCAGCGACCCACCACCCAAATCCATTGACGGGGGACTCCCTTCACTCCGGCAACCCAAAGCGATCTCCTCCTCCACTCCCGGTGACTCCCTGCACTCCGGCGACTCCCGTAATTAGTTTGGCTCTGTTTTTTTTTTTTTTTTGAATTGTGAAATCCGAATGTAGTTTTTTTTTTTTTATAGTTTTTTTGGCCGAATGTGATAATGAATTACTTGCAAAGTATTGTTTGCTTGGAGTTTGGCTCTGTTTTTTTTTTTTTGAATTGTGAAATCCGAATGCGTATTAGTTTG